CATCCAACTCCCTAATGAACATCTCAGGTTCTCGGGTGACACAGGAGCTTTGTACTCAACGACCAACGTAAAGGCTGGTGGTTTGAACCCACCCAGTGGTGCTGCAGAGGAAAGGGATGGAGACTGGCTTCTGTAAAGATCACAACCAAGAAAACTCTACGGAGAAGTTCATGGGGTTGTCATGAGTGAGAATCGGCTCATTCTGTTTGGTTTTGGTTTGGTAATGGACAGCTCTAACTTTGCTATCTCAGAGGCACCCCAAAACCAACAGATCCACAAGGTCAACGCTCAATCTCTCCTGCACCTTCACTTGCTCTTCTCTATTAGGGTAAAAGCATCACCACCCACTGAGTCAGCTAAGTCAGAAACCTAGAAGTTGTTCTTTAGGTCCCTTCACCACCCAATCAGGAACCAGTTAACATGCAGCTTATCTCTTTCTTCTTCCTACTGGTTATGCTGCTACTTCACTTTCCTCTCTTGCTCACAGGAAGGACAAGTAGCAGTCTTCAAATCAGTATCCTTGTTGCCAATCTTCCTACTTTCCAACTCAAGCTGCCACTCTCCACACAGCTGCCCTAGTGATCTTTCTAAAGCATTACGGTACCCATTTCCTGCTGTAACAGCCTTGAGGAGGTGCCTGGGCCTCCCACAATCGGGCCCTTCTCTACCTTCACAGCCTCGTCTTTCTCCACACCCTTCTAATCCTATTGGCTACTTGCAGTTTCTCAAAGCTACTAGGTAATTCATGACTCATGGTCCTAAAGCCTGGAATGCCCTTCACCTTTCTTTATCCACCCAGCAAAGATCCACATATTATTCTTTCAAGATTTAGCTCACAGTCCCATGCCAAAGAACGAGCCACTTTCTCCTCATGCCACCACTTCCTTGAGAGAGAATCTGTATCCCATTCACTCCTACATGCCCAACATTTACAACAAAGCTTGTCACATAGTAGGTGTTCGTTAAAGTTGAGGCACTGTGTCTTCACATCCCGCTTATTTTCCAAGGCCTAGCTCCACTTTCATCAAGTCTTGCTTGGGTACCTCTCTCTTGCTTTCTCAAGCAGTACTTTCTGAAACTTCAATTGTTTCTTATGTGTATAGTTCTCAGAATGCTTATCACTTTTTCTCTTGTAGTATTAATACTGACAGACCTATCTAATCCCCACTCATAGCAACCCTATCAACCTCACCCTCAAATGTGCTGTTGAGTTGATTCAACTCATAACGACCCGTCCTTGGGTTTCCAAGGTGGTATCTCTGTGGAAGTAGATTGCCCAATCTTCCTTCTGAGGAGTACAGAGTAGAACTGCCCCACAGGGTTTGCAAAGGTGTAAATCTTTATGGAAGCAGCCTGCTTCATCTCTCTTCTGTGGAGTGGCTGGTGGGTTCAAGCCACGGGCTTT